GCATCATAAAGATTCGAATAACTTAAGTAAAAAATTAATTTAGGCGAAAAAAAGAAAACTAATTTAAATATTTTACAGCTAGTAGAGTCTATAATTTAATGTATGTCTATATTGCCCACAAAGGTATTGTATTGACACTAAAACAAAAAAATTTTTGGCAAATATTTATTTCTAACGTCAACATCCTTAAATACAGCCAATTTATTTTCTAGTAAACACCATAGTTTACCGTTTTCAATATGTGACGATCACTATTTTTTTACCAAAAAGTAAAGCATCAAGCATGTTCATTAGTGTTTCCTCTTTCTAATCATGTGCTTTCCAATACATATTAGTGCGATGTAAATTAATAAACACACTCTAATTTGAGTGAAACAAGTGATTTAAAAATTTCGACAGTAGTGTCCAACCACCCCGCTTCGTGTTCGATGTGTGCAATATTTTTTCATTGTTTCGTATATTATATTAATGAGTATATTACGCGTCTGAGCCGCGCGTCATGACACCTCGCTTAATGGTCCGAGAGCTCATGACGCATTTTTCATGAAGTGTTTGATGCATCATGAAACTTTGTTTAAAGGTATCAGTCGACTCAATAAGCAGGTATATGACTGTCTGCCTGGCCTACCTGGGTACACCTGGTACTGCGCATACAGTTAAGTCGAAAAAAAATTTGCCCAAAAAAAAGTGTTTGATTCAAATAATAATAATGACTATCCGTTAGCTAAGTTTATAAACAATTAAGAAAAAAAATGGCAGACACTTCTGAAGGGGTTTACATAGGGGCAGACGACCACAAAGTTGTATTTTCAAAAATTCCAAAAAAAGTGTTTGATTCAGTCTGCCATTTTTACAGCGTGTTTATTATGTATAATAAAATATTCTCACAAAAAGGCAGACAGTTTCTCCGGGGGTTACTAATTTAAAAATCTATACAAATAAATAAAATTTAAATGTCTGTTTTTAATTTCAAAATAACAATTTTTTACTAAACGCATAAGACATTATATACGATATTTATAACAAAAACACAATTTTTAAAATTTTTGTCTGTCTGTTTGTTCCGACTAATCTCCGAAATGGCTGGACCGATTTTGACGGGACTTTCACTGGCAGATAATTGATGTTATAACGAGTATTTTAGGCTGCTTTTAAATTTAAAAAAAATTATTAGGGTACCGCGCAAAAAAAATAAAACCCTAAATTACATGCGGGCGAAGTCGCGGGGAACAGCTTTTTATTTTATCAGCAGCTATTTAAATAATCTTAAAAAAGTATAATTATTTTCATGTTTGTCAATTGGAATCGGATTCTGCTGTCAATGTACTTATCAAATCATGTGATACAGATGTATTAATTATTATGATAGGAAATATGGACCATTTAAAAAGTGATTATTTATTTGTATAGATTTTTAAATTAGTAACCCCCGGAGAAACTGTCTGCCTTTTTGTGAGAATATTTTATTATACATAATAAACACGCTGTAAAAATGGCAGACTGAATCAAACACTTTTTTTGGAATTTTTGAAAATACAACTTTGTGGTCGTCTGCCCCTATGTAAACCCCTTCAGAAGTGTCTGCCATTTTTTTTCTTAATTGTTTATAAACTAAGCTAACGGATAGTCATTATTATTATTTGAATCAAACACTTTTTTTTGGGCAAATTTTTTTTCGACTTAACTGTATGCGCAGTACCAGGTGTACCCAGGTAGGCCAGGCAGACAGTCATATACCTGCTTATTGAGTCGACTGATACCTTTAAACAAAGTTTCATGATGCATCAAACACTTCATGAAAAATGCGTCATGAGCTCTCGGACCATAACGTTAAAGTTATAGTAAGGTCCAAAAGTTTCTGGCCTGAACTATAAAAAATGAAGGAGAAATCTCAAACCACTATAATTGTTTTTAGATATAATCGCCCTTTATATAAATAAAATTTTCTCAGATTGTCTAAATTTTTGCCCTCAAAATATGACAAAACTGCTGAATTAAACTCATTATTGTTAAATTTTTTATTCGTAAGTCTGATTTCAAATTTAGGAATAAATAATGTAACTGGACGAAGTCGGATCTGGTCTTACGATGATCTCGTACATGGTGGATGGTCGAGCTCAGTGAAACCGCGTTACTTATATATGGACTGGAGCATTGTCATTAAGCAATAACAACTCAATAGCAACATTAACAATAATAACTCCTCGCGACAATTTCTCTCGATGTTTTTCTTTAATAGTATCTCGCAATTGATGTAGCAAGGAAGCATAGAAATTACCTGTTACTGTTGTGTTGCGTTCTTTAAAATCTATGAGTAAAATTCCTTCGGAATCCAAAAAGATCGTAGCCATAATATTTATCTGAGACCTCATCTAGAAGTCACTTGATTCCTTTTTTGAAAGAATATCATTATAAAGAGGTTTTGTCACTCGTAACAATTGAATTAGAACGTCTTTCTGTCGGCCTTCACAAAGGGTCAAGAACTGAGCACAGCACTTCACTTGTTCTTGTGTTGAAAGTAGTTTTGGGACTCACCTAGCACTACACTTATTCATATCCAAATGTTCGTATAGGATTCTAAGTACTGTTTAGTTATTTATTTATTATTACTTCAATTAAAACGGTAAAACCGATTACATTAATTAAAGACAACATATTCATTCTTCTCACTTCTTCATTACGACAGTAGCTATTTAGTACAAATTAGATACAGTTCGATACTCAGGTCTAGAGCGTCTATCTTCTTGTACGGGTACAAGGCATTCCATCTTAATCCTCAAGAGTGACGACGCATCTGCATTTTAAATTAATGGAGAATAAATGTACGTGGTTACGGTCTATGGGCCACAGTATCCACTTCCATCAGGTGTATTATGTGCCGGTTCACCCTTATTCTATTAAAAAAAAATCGCACAGTGGTGAATCGCCGAACAGCCAGATATGCAATTGTGAGATTTAGCTGTTAGAATTAGTCTGAACAATTCTGTTATGGAAGCGATAGAATTAAATGTTTATTTAGTATTGAGGTTCATTTTCTTGGTCGGCAAATTATGTAATATATATATATATAAAAAAAACTGCAAGAAAATTTATGAATAAATAATCGCTCAGTATTTTTGCATCAGTATTCTAAATTTTAAATAGTAATTATTAATTTATTTTAGATATTTAGTATCTATAGTAAAAAACAAAAAATACAAACACAACACCTTCATACCTACTTAAAAGTTGCCAAAGTAAAAGTACTTAACTGAGGAGCACTACTAACTATGCTTAGATATATTAGTATGAAAGAAGCGAAAGAGTTATCAAGCCAAATGGAAGACTCTCTGCTTATCCCTTTGGGTGATAGAGTTTGTGATATGTTATTTTGCTTTCATGTTCTATAAAGATAAAACTATGAAGGAAAAGTATTACGATGGTCATAAGAACACAAAGTAATATAGCGCATAGCCACAGAATATACACGAAACATACACGCTGCAAATTTCTACGGGTTCTAACACAAACCAGCCTGGCCACCAGCATCCACAAACCAGAAGAGGGTCGTTCTGCACTGCGCCCGCCGGCACGAACTCACCACACGAAAAAGCCATTGAATCTCGCTACTAAATATCGGTTTTAGGATTTATTACCCAAGAACATATCCGGACTGCATTTATTTCATAGAAACCTATTCATCTGTTTTCTACCTGGATAATGACACTAGTGAATATTTATTTATGAAACAATCTATATTTTAATTCTTATATTAAAAACTCCTTTCTAAAGGGATCACTTACCATCAGGTGAGCCGCATATTCATTTGACTCATCTTCCTTAAAGTAATCACAATTTTAAGTACTGACCCACCACGTGCTCACGCGTAGTTTTGAAGGAAAAATTCACGAGAAAACCTGCATGTCTAAATAACAAAATATTCGACCATAAACTGTCCGCCAACGCACAGCAACAGCGCGGTGGACTGAATGCTCCAAAACTTTCTCAGAAATGAGAAGCCTGCGCCCACCGGTAGTACGTATAAAGGTTGTAACTAGGTATAGCATCCAATCCTGGTATAACATTACATCACGTATTACATTTATTAAAACACATAAAGACAGTTTCATCTCGTATATTCGCAATGCCTGTGTACTTTGCAGACTTACTCTATAATTCAAACATTATAATAACTCCACTTTGAAAATTAGTAGCAGTTTTGTAATAGTTTATGAAGTTAAAAATATTCTATTAAAGTGATATAAAGAAAATATAAAATTTCTCAACCAGTCTCAAGTCAGTAGTACTGTTAATCAGCATTTAGTACTGACGGCTCCGTGGCGTAGTGGCTTAGCAATGAGTTGAAGCGCTAAGGGCAGCGGGTTCGAATCCCGCACTGAACAGGTAATTGTATAGCCTACAAATATTTGTTCCGGATCAGAGCTTCGTTCTTGTGGAATTTATGTATGTGAATTGCCCCGACGATGCAGGAGAAAGTCCAAGTGAGGAGAAGTTTTAGTTTTGAAAATAGAAGAGAAAGCTTCTAAGACTTCGTCACCATTTAGCCACCACAAGTACTTTAATAATACTTTATTAGAACTCAAATAAACGATACACTTGTTCCGACTAAGCCCTAGCTCCTAAACTAGGAATCCTGTACGTCAGGAGCTAGACCCTTTCATACATTAGGCACAAACAACCAAGTGGGTTTGTAGTCAAGCACTAGCTTATATTAAGTAAATAAATTTGTAAGTAAATTTGGAGTGACGACCTGGTAAGACGCAGAAAGTCGATGGAAGCAGGTGGATTAGGACCGTGTTTTGTGGCATACCTTGGGGGAGGCCTGTGTTCAGTAGTGGACTTGTGAAGAGCTGTAATGATGATGATTATGATGATGGTGATGATGATGATTATGATAATGACCATGATAATGATCATGATGATAAAATTTCCATTTATAAAAATACTACCTATTCTAAATCGTCATATCGAAATCAAGGGCGAGATTTAAACAATACAATAATTATACATATTTTTATATTTTCTTAAAACCAAAATACAAACTTTTATAATTATCAGATTATGACTAGGCTTAAAAACAGATTAAAACCCACAAGTTTATCTGGCACAAACATTTTGTACCTGCTTTTTAACGTTATTACTTGTGTCTTGCCCAGTAAAGTTAATTCGCAGGTAACACCAATGACCTTAGGAATACGCAAAACATTAGCAGTATGTTTTGTTTTAAAATTAGAAAACAATGACCAATCTAACGATTTGGATCGTTGCTTATTTTCATTTATATACTGTGGACAAATTTCTCCTAAATATTTCTTTCTACATACAGTGTATAACCAGTCATCAGAGTTTGTACGTCTCTTATTCTCAACGGGAGTTTCTTTGGTGCTCGTATCTGGCACGTGAAGAAAACGTGCGTATCCGGAAAACTGGTCCAAATGACGTCTGTATCTCGTTCTGCGCAAATTGCGTTCCGACTCATCACGGAGCGCCAGTGAATAATAGAGCGTAACGGGATCCCTTGCCCCCAGTGTCTTGATGGCTTAAATGACGACTGCAACTTCTGTTGACAAACAATGGATACTTCCTCAACATCGCATCCAAGTTAATTCGTTATAATAAGGAAACATATGATATACAAGATGTAGAGTCAACAAGGTCTTGTCCTTGGTTAAATTATGTTTAGGGAAAAATTTGGCTTTTATTCGGAAGGAAATATAATAGACATTCGCATTATGCTGGAGGTAAATAAAACCACAGTCACTTTGAAACATCGTCATTAATTATTAAAGAAAATTTAAACATACATTTCAGAAAAATTTTAGTTGTATACTTCGAAATTTTAATGAATGCCAAATATGCTTACCGCAACTGCGTGATATTGCACCTGCTTCACCACTGACACGACTGCAAAGACGGTGAATATTGAGAAAGCAACAGCAGCGGTGGACACAAGAACAACATCTTCCCACGGACTATCTGTCCAATTTGCATTATCAATCATCAACGCAACTGTCTACCTCGTCGCAAACGTAGTGATAATGCAAGGCACTGCAAACCACCCAACCGCCCAGTACTTCGACATCGCTTATTCTATTAAAAATTCCACGTCGTCGACGAGTGTTTTCCAGCCTTCTGAAATGAAAATATAATCATTAGCATAAATATTTGCGTAATGTAATAATTTATAAAACTTCGATAAATCTTAGAGGCTTAATGTCGCGGCCACACACATCGCGACTGCAGAAATGTCTATGGGACACAGAATCCACTTACCATCAGGTGGACTGTGTGCTCGCTGGTCATCCTTATCATATAAAAAAATACTTCTGGCGTAAGATGGTTTTAATATAATCTATCAGGAAGAGATTCTTTCTAGCATTTAACATAGTAGTATGAATTTCAGACTAAGTTTGTCCAGAATTCAGTCAAACTTTGTTAATTAACAAGTGTAATAGGTAATAAACTAGTCTTTTAAAAATACCTAATACAAATTCAACTGAGTAGTGATAGGGACCAGTATTATCAATTCTAAGGTATCAGTTCTACCCTCATGAACTCTGCTCCAGTGGGGCGTGGAGATAAATATTTTATAATATTATGCATGTCAGTTGGTGTATCCTTAGCATATAATAATTTTCTTTAACATTAATTATTACGTAATACTTATTAAAATAAAAAAAATACAATTATTTCATCATCATCATCATTACAGCCCTTCACAAGTCCACTGCTGAACATAGGCCTCCCCCAAAGAATGCCACAAAGCCTGAGCTACCTGCATCCATCGACTTCCTGCATCTCTTACCAGGTCGTCACTCCATCTCGTGGGGGGACGCCCTACACTTCGCCTACCGGTACGAGGCTGCCACTCGAGAACCTTTCTTCCCCATCGGTTGTCGGTTCTTCGAGCTTCAGAGCACTTCAGCTTACTAATCCGTTGGGCTATATCGGTTACTCTGGTTCTACTGCGGATATCCTCATTCCTAAGTTTATCACGCAGAGAAACTCCGAGTATAGCCCTCTCCATAGCTCGCTGAGCGACCTTGAGCTTCCTCATACGGCCAGCAGTGAAGGACCACGTCTCAGTTCCATAAGTCATCACTGGCAACACGCACTGGTTGTACAATTTCGTTTTCAGGTTTTGAGGTATGTCTGACGAGAAGATGTGTCGTAGCTTCCCGAACGCTGCCCAGCCGAGTTGAATCCGTCGATTGACCTCTCGGTCGAAGTTGGACTTACCTAGTCGGACTATTTGTCCCAGGTAAACATACTCGTCAACAACTTCGAGCTTAGTGCTTCCAACAACTACCGGCATAGGTGTGACATGGACATTGAACATGATCTTTGTTTTGTCCATGTTCATCTTAAGACCTATCCGTTGGGAAACACTATTGAGGTCATTGAGCATAGTGCTTAGGTCCTCCAGCGATTCTGCCATAAGGACTATATCGTCGGCAAATCGAAGGTGAGTGATGTACTCGCCATTGATGTTGATACCGTATCCTTTCCAGTCCAGAAGCTTGAAAACGTCTTCCAATGCAGCGGTGAAGAGTTTCGGGGATATGACGTCACCCTGTCTTCCACCTCTCTGCAATTGGATAGGTTTCGTACTCTGGTTCTGTACTCGGATAGCCATCGTAGCCCTACTGTACAAGCACTTCAACACTTCGATATACCGACAGTCAACTTGGCACCGCTGAAGGGACTGCAGCACCGCCCAAATTTCGACGGAATCAAAGGCTTTCTCATAGTCCACATACGCCAGACATAGTGGCAAATTGTACTCTTCGGACTTCTGTACAATTTGCCGGAGGGTATGTATGTGGTCTATGGTGCTAAAGCCCTTTCGGAAACCGGCTTGTTCGGGAGGCTGGAAGTCGTCAAGTCTGCGCGCGAGACGATTCGTAATGACTCTCGAAAACAGCACGTAGACGCGGCTCAGAAGGGCAATCGGTCTGTAGTTCTTCAAGAGAGCGTTGTCAAATTGTTTACATGAATTATAATAAAAAACATAATAGTAGGGATGACCTCACTTCCAGAGATTTTTTTAGAATAAGAGTGACATGCGACAGGCTACCTAATGCTAAGTGAATACTGTGGCCCATAGACATCTACATCTATCCTCGATTAAGAATCAAAATACATATGCATTGTCTGTCCTGAGGACTAAGATGGAATGCCTTGTATCCACTAAAAATAGCATATGGTCCTCTACACTCACCGTATAAAATACAGCAGCATTAAGCTGCTATATTTTACGCAGATATTCTGTGAGAGCGTGGTCCTTCCCCGGTCGAGTCGACCCATGTATACTTTAATTAAAATACATTAATTTATTCCCCAATATTGTAATAACACTTGTCTGCCTCGTTTTGTTTTTACCACAAAATTCCAGAAAATATAAAAATTTGATCTGCTCAAAGTTCAAAAACTTTATTAAACAAAGTTTGTACAAAAAGGGTAATTATAATATTAAGGAATTTATGGATGATAATAACCCCTGGGAATGAGGTGATCGCTACCAAGCTATTTCTGATTTGTTCTGTTGTTAATTGTGTAACATACATGATTGTAAGCTGTTATTTAAAAAAAAGTCCCGTTAGGTTTCTTGCTGGTTCTTCTCAGGACAGAGGTTTTTCTGAACCAGTGGTAATTAAACAAAAGAGTGACTTTCAATAAGTATTATTTATAATCTATATCGAATAAAAAAGTTTCTGTTTCTGTTGGTCTAGCGTCGTAAATAGGATTTTGATCATGAGGTCCCGGATCGGGCCAAAATCTGTTATTAGATATTTCTATCAAGAAAGTCTCAGCAGCAGGCCGGAGTTAGGAAATTGGCAGTGTTTCACCCCCTTGCCGTGGATAGCGCGTCAAGCCGTGTTTTCTCTCTCGAGACGAAATACCATCCCATTGGACTGTGGAAGTAAGGGAATAGAGTGCCTTATTTTTGACATTATTATTATGTGGGGTATCTATATAGTTTTCTCATCTGGTTGGGCTGTTTAAATATATAATTTTAAATGAAAATGATAAATATACATAAATATCAATATAATAAAATAAATACATAAATAAATAAAAACCATGACATTTTCCAAGTGACATAAGACAACCTAAAATTTTTGATATATAGATGCTATCATTCCTTCTCAACTAATTTTATGTATGAAAGTCTGCCATTGTTCTTTGGGAAGATTAGCAAAAATTTGGTGAGGTTCCAAATACCAATGAGCTCTTAAATGGGGAAGAGTTTATAACTTAAATTGTAAAGAGTCCCTTAGAGAAAAATTTAAATAAATATACATATTAACTTTGGCATCGCAATATATTTATGAAAATGTAATGAATGTACATACATTAAAACATAAATAGCTTTGAGAAGAATAAAGATGTTCATACTTTAAACACCTACTAGGAACAAACACAAAAAGTGTTATTATAATATTACAGAATACATCAATGAAAATAAACTCTGGGAAAGCGGTGATCGCCACCATGCTGGTTCTATTAAAATTTATTTAAAAAGAGTACAAACAAAATTATTATATAGTGAAATATGTTTAAAAAACTCCCGCTGGCTTTCTTACTGGTTCTTCCCATGACAGAGGTATTTACCGAACCAGTGGTAAATAAAAAATGACCTTGAATAAGTATTATGTAATAATTTATTTTGAATAAAAATTATTCTATTCTATTTTTTGTAATATAAGATATTTACTAACCAGCACAGCTAGCATGGGCTGATAAAATCCACTGACAAGAGATAAAATTATCTCGTCCTTATGTCAAAGCAAGCAACGAGTAGACATACATATATCCCCCGTCCATAGCATAGCAAAAAAATATATGTTTTTTTGACATTTGAAAGGTACAATTTCATTAGACGTGGTTTAAGTTTATATTCATAAAAAATGTATGTACCTATATCAAGCAGTGTACCCATGCTGAAAGGGTGGAAAAACTAAGCGAGGGGATAAACATTTTCTCCTTTCCCCAGGGATAAAATTGTATCCTGCCCATACTAACACTGTAGTAGAGACATTATACAAAGAAATCAATTTATATTGTGCAAATATTGTTACATTTAACAATATTTGCACAATATAAATGATATAAAACATAATAAAATTAATGTTAATCAATAATTAAGTAAAGAATTTTTAAACAATAAACATTTTAAAAATAACTGATTTTTGTTTGTTTGTAGTAAGAACTAATAATTAGTACAAGTCATGCACTATTTACTCATTAATTATTCAGTAGTTTTAAGAGTCGTTACAGCCAAAAGTCCACTGCTGAACATAGGCCTCGCCTAGGTAATTTTACAGAAATGCTATAGACAAGGAACTCAACCTATAGAATTTTATTGTTTATCAAAACTCAGTAATAAAATGCCAAACCTGTTGTTAAATACGATATTAAGAACAAATTTTTAAGTATGTATACTATCACATAAATTTAATTTGTTTAATATTAGTTGTAAATCCATTTGTGGAATGTTATCCCACTTTTCTTCTAGTAATACGATTTAAATAACTCAACAATCTGACCATGATCTTTAGTTAACTAAGTCAATTAATTTTAAGATATGACTTGTCTCGCACACTCTCTTTGACTCTCACCTGTATCTGTAGCGAGGTGAGTTTATGTCCAGCAAAGAGTATGCCGACGACGTGCTCACGCAAGTCGCTGTCGTCTGAAATCGTATCCTCCGCTGCTACAGCACCTTCATTGGACTCAGTACCACTGTGATCCCACTCTAGCAGTTCGCCAACACCTGAAAGTATCATACCTAAGTAAAATTAACTGTAACTACTTGAAGTCGGTGTAAGAATATCCACTACCCCATATCGCTCATTGGTGTCGTAAGAGGCGACAGAGGGAAATAATCCAGAAGATAGGCAGCAACGTCTTCCTAATAAAGGACTAAAACTAAACAACTGCGGTATCCAATCACCTATTGTGGCAACTATAGCAAATATTGCCTAGGCGAGGCCTATGTTCAGCAGGGGACTTTTGGCTGTAACAACTCTTGAAACTACTGAATAATTAATGAATAAATAATGCATGACCGAAATGATTATTCGTCATAATAAAACAAAGTACCTACACCAGAAATTAGAAAATAACAAATAAAAACAAGATATACACATTTGGGTTGTAGAAGCGAAAGGCATCCAACCAGGTAGACACAGGTGGCCCCAAACCGGGCTTTGTGGCGTTTGTCGGGGTAGGCCTTTGTTCAGCAATGGAGCTAGGTTTGTCGGCTTTCTTTATTGCACTCCAAAGAAAAACAAATCTCGTCTCATAATAAAATAAAACAAACAAAAACAGAGAGAAAACCAAAGGCAAACTTATGTTATACAGCAATTGCTTTTAGAAAACCTAAGAAAAGGATAGTTTTGTTTAAAAAAATCTAAAGAATCATAAAAAATAACCTGTAAAGTGAGCAAGCGGAACACACGCAACGTGTCCTGCTCCACGAGAGACTGCAGCGCGTGCGAGGGCAGCGCGCTGGTGCGGTGGGGCGCGGGCATACTGAGCACACGCACTTGCCGGACGCACACCACATCTTCGGGCCCGCGTAGTTCACAACGCACCCTTATCGCTGCGCCTGCAATGCCTGCAAATCAAACATTTATATATTACTTATATTACGTATATTACTTTTATTGCTAGAGCGCTTATCCATTTTTTAAATGAGGATTATTTTTAAATAACACATTTTACTCTGTAAACCATTGCAATTTTAATACCATATTGTAAACACTAAAGTAAATGAAAATAAAATGGGAAACATGTTTATATTATTTACGAAATAAAAAAAAATAATATTTAAATATTTATTTTAATATATACAATATTACAAACTATAATAATAAAAAAAAAACTAAAACTAGAAACTTAAATTATCATATAGTCCCACTCCTTAAATACTATTACGTAAAAAAAATTATCAAAGCAGATTCACCTCAAATGTGTTTATATCAAGATATTACATATAAGTTAAACTTTAAAACTAGAAAAAAAAAACAACTATTATAATTTGATTGCAACTTGCAGTTAAGTTCCTCTTTGTGACGCAAATATACTATATTATTTTATAATGCAATGTAAAACTTACGAGGCAGAGCGCAGCAAACCCAGGTAACACTCTTGGGATCAATCTCGGAATCCTGCATGTAGACCATTTCATTTGAGCCGCTGCTGAATAAGAACGACGCTAGCAGAGTCTTGTTCTGAAATCGTACAATATTAATATAAGTATAGTACCTACCTATTAAAGATGGTAAATTTTTCACAATATAACGACCAAATAAAACAATATCGTGTAAAGGTGTACCTAAGACAAACCTACGACAAAAAATTAAGGCGAAGGAATTACTAAAAATGGTAAGCCTCATTACCAATAACTGGCACTTCGATAGTCGATCCGAGATCATAAATGCTTTTAAGTAAAGTCTACATTACAGAGCTCATTTTTCTTCCCGACTAATTTTGATAGATGTAGTTTAAATAAGGCAGCCGCTAGCTACGAAGATTTGCAGGAAGTCGATAAGATACAGGAGCCTCAGGGTTGAGCAGTGGACTTTTGGAGGGCAGTAATGATCATGATGAGGATGAATATGTAGTTATGTTATCTTGTAATGTTATTTAATATATCTCTTTATCTTTCGGCGTTAGTTGGATGCCGTTAGAAAGCATAATCTCCGAAATGATTGTATTAGTAGCCGTCGCTTAGGGCACCTGCCATGCCTTGACGTAAGGATACCGTGATAGCGCACGATATCCCGTGACATCCATACCATACAAAGTTGTCCTGTGGGATGTTGAAACGAGAGTAATACATATATGGTAAAATTAATTTAAAAGCATTAATATGTGTAGTTCCTCTGTGAAATACTCTGATTATAATGGATACTAACATAAAACTTATAACGTATATAAAATAGTAATTTGAATACAATATTAACAATAAGAGTTCATAGAAATATCGCCTTTATTTCAATGTTTACAGTAATATTCTTAAAACAATTTCTTTTATATCCAAAACGGATGTTATGGGAAGTGATAACATTTAAATATATAAATAATTACTTCGCATTTATATTATTATGCAAAGTATTAATAAATAAATTTAATTCTATTAAATATCACAAATATCTCATTAAACATACTAATATAAAACTGAAAATTCTATAACAGATTTTTATACACCTTCCAGTACTGCTTTCAATGTTTAACTAATATTACTTTATTGATATAGCTGTGAAAACTCATGCAAGGCACCGGGCACGCCTTCTTCATAAGCGCCGTCTTCACCGTGTGATAGGATGCGGCTGATCAAGCTAAACACTTATGATCTGCTCCAAGCAGCGTGAACAGCTCGCGGAATAGTTTAAAACAACAGTCTCAAAAGTATAATAATATTATTAACCGTGCTTGTAGATATATCCAAGAAATAAACGCACGCGAAATGTAAAAACAAACTCTGGCAAATTATTTATCTTCCTGACTGTGTTAATTACAAGTGCCGGAGCATCTACATAGACATAAAGCTATTGTAGAAAGAAGTAGGTACAAATGAAAATATATAGGAGGTGTCGCCTTTGGTAAGAGCTCGATAAGCCGAACGTTGAACGAGCTCGATAAGACGAATAAAGATATAGTTTAAGGGAGACACGAGTACTCTTGAAAGGGAAAGAGAAGAATTAATTGTTATGAGTAAAATGTTTCAAAGTGCGTGAGTTTTGTGGCATTTCTTGCTGAACATATCAGTGGACTTGTGAAGGGCTGTAATGATGGTGACGGTGTACGTAAGTATGGTCTTTAAATGAGTAGCATAGCATAAAGGCTAAAATCGGGGGCATACAATTGAATGACACATTAATAAACAACATAATCTATTGATAATGATTCATAAGTTAATTGAGCTAATTTTGAATTCAAAACATTTCTTTTATCACAATATAGTAACTGTTACCGACCAATGCTATTTTATTTATTCTAAATGGATATTTGCAAAAGACCTTACGTGTAATATTTTTTTCTTAGGACTCGTAAGGCTATACTTTTGCCACTGTCAAGCGATAACTTTAAAATGATTTGCTTTAAAAAATATCTAAATATATTTAAGGATCGATGTGTCACATTGGTATGTTTTTTGTGAGATTTTGACGGCAGCTTGAGACAATCTATGATGATAAAATCACCCAAGCAGAAAAAATAACTTGAGGTTTACATCACCATCGGAGTACTTGTTTCAATATTTTCACTAATAGTTACATTTGTACATAATATTTAATACACAAGAACTCACTACTTTTACATATTAAAATCCACTTCAATCCGTTATTTTTACAATAATAGGAGCAAAAATCTGTCGACGATTCATTTCCCCCTAAAACTTGTGTATTCTCTTAACAACAATATTAGTTGTGTCTATGCGTGTGTGCCCGAATGTGTGCGTGTTTATATGCGTGTGTGCACCTATGTTTGTGTACCGTGTAGTGGCGTTACAAGAATATCCACTACCGCATATCATGGCATGGGTCGTATGAGGCGACAGAGGGAAATAAACCAGGAAGTGTGCAGCAGATTCTTCTAATAACGACTAAAAATTAAAAACCTGTTGTTACCCACCCAAATGTCAAGCGTGGCAACTATGGCAATAGGGGAGGGCTATGTTAATCACTAGACTTTAATAGGTTGTAAGAGTAACGGCAACGGTGTGTGTGTGTGTGTGTGTGTGCGTGCGTGTGTGTGTGTGTGTGTGTGTGTACATGTAACTGGTGTATAAGTAAGCGTATGTCGCGTACTGACGCGCATAGTGCAGCGCCCAGCAGCGTACCGCCTGCAGCGCGGGTGCGAGCACGCTCACCGACCGGAGCAGAGCGTGCAGTGCGCCGTGTGTCGCGTACTGACCTGTGCAGGAAGGCCCGGTCGTGCGGCGCATAGTGCAGCACCCAGCAGCGCTCCGCCTGCAGCGCGGGCGCGCTCACCGACCCGAGCAGAGCGCGCAGCGCGTCGTGTGTCGCGTCCTGACCTGTGCAGGAAGGCCCGGTCGTGCGGCGCATAGTGCAGCGCCCAGCAGCGCACCGCCTGCAGCGCGGGCGCGAGCGTGCTCACCGACCCAAGCAGAGCGTGCAGTGCGCCGTGTGTCGCGTACTGACCTGTGCAGGAAGGCCCGGTCGTGCGGCGCATAGTGCAGCGCCCAGCAGCGCACCGCCTGCAGCGCGGGCGCGAGCGTGCTCACCGACCCGAGCAGAGCGTGCAGTGCGCCGTGTGTCGCATACTGACCTGTGCAGGAAGGCCCGGTTGTGCGGCGCATAGTGCAGCGCCCAGCAGCGCACCGCCTGCAGCGCGGGCGCGAGCGTGCTCACCGACCCGAGCAGAGCGTGCAGTGCGCCGTGTGTCGCGTACTGACCTGTGCAGGAAGGCCCGGTTGTGCGGCGCATAGTGCAGCGCCCAGCAGCGCACCGCCTGCAGCGCGGGCGTAAGCGTGCTCACCGACCCGAGCAGAGCGTGCAGTGCGCCGTGTGTCGCGTACTGACCTGTGCAGGAAGGCCCGGTCGTGCGGCGCATAGTGCAGCGCCCAGCAGCGCACCGCCTGCAGCGCGGGCACGAGCGTGCTCACCGACCCAAGCAGAGCGTGCAGCTCGAGCGTCTTACGCCAGCCCGGGCTCAGAGCACCCTACACACGTTTTTTATTGTCATTAAAGTTCGTACAAACATTTCGTAAAATCTAATTTAATATAAATAAAATTAGAACATCAGCAATGTAATCGAAGTGAAATAAGTACGAATTATTAAGGATGCATCAAAATGCATAAAGGACTACATGAGAAGCACCAACTTCCAAGTAAAGAAAATAATACCGCTAGATACCGCAGCGGAAAGAAGTATAGCCTGTTTTCAGCTGTACTCTCTACTACTGGAATAATATCAGCACTTCACTAGTACTTCATTGCGTGTTAAACTAGCGGATGGTTCGATTAAAATACGCCAGGTACCAATAACGAATTTACAGGTAAATATAAAACCAAGAAAGCAAGTCGCACTCGATTTTGTTGTTTTACCAGACGCTGAAAATAATGAAACCTTGTTAGGAATAGATTTCCTTACAGCTGCAGGTATATGTATAGATTTTGCTTTCTCCACAATTTTCGAACGACCCAAAAATTTATTTACTGGAGTTCGAACCTTTAAGCCATTTTGAGTCTTGTGCCTCTGCAGATTTTCTTAACCCTGAAGCCCGTAATAGATTAGGTAACCTGCTGAAAGAGAATTTAGACACCTTTAGTCTAGGGGGAGCATGCACAACATATGCCGAACATTATATTGATACTGGTGATCATCCACATATATCAGCCCCGCCTTACCGGTTGACACCAGCAAAGAAAGAAACTATGTGAAGCAGAATTGGTGAAAATGTTACAAGAAGGAATAATCAAAGAATGCGAATCCGCGTGGTCCTCACCCGCCGTCTTGATACCTAAAAAAGATAGCACTGTTAGGTTCTGTGTGGATTACCGCAAACTTAATAGTATTGAAAAACACGCAAACTTAATAGTGTGTTATGTGTGTGTGATGTGAGTGTGTTGTGTGTGTGTGTGTGTGTGTGTGTGTGTGTGTGTGTGTGTGTGTGTGTGTATGTTGTAAGAAAAAGCTAAGAAAAATATTGGAAAGATAAGAAAAAGATGTTCTGGTTTTTTAAGTCATATTATTCTAAGAGTTAAATATTATAAGCCTGGCAGCATCTATAGTCGTGTATTCTTAGAACATTCACATAATGCATAAGTATGAAAAATAAAAGTGTGTCCAAGCATTAAAATATGCATCAATATTAAATATTGTACGCCACAATCAATATAATCAATTTAGTTGTATAATGTCTTTACAAATCCATATCTATCTAATTAAACCAGACCAACCAGACGATATTATAAGACCCAGACAGGGATATACTCGCGCTGTACCGCGTTTTAGGAACATTTAATTATGTAGCTAAAATAATATAACAACTGCGTCGTTGCTATATTATTTTGAATACTTAATTGTCTTTCTCAACAATAATGTTTTACTATTCATAAACAAACTGTAACACATATTTTCAATTAACGATTATCTAATTTTCATAAAAGCTGAAACAATCAAAATTTTGTGGAAAAAGTCGTTTCACATACAGTTTCGATGTTAATTCCAAATGGGACTCGATTATTCAATGAAACAAAAAAAAAACAAAAAAAAACGCAACGATAGTTTAAGATAATTTACAGCGTCATACTGAAATCAAAAAGGCGCTTAGTTGAAAATTCATAAACATACTTAAAGTTAGAATATCAAAATTTATATATGGTTATTTTAATGAGTTATTACGCATCGAATACATAACACCTACTTACATACAAATTAGTTGAAATTTTTTAACTATAATTAATTAATTAAAGTTATTAGAAAATCAGTAATAATCTTCAACCTACCTTGAATCACAAAACTTTGCAGAAACACAAGAATTTTCTAAACCTAGGGCCTAGACTGAACGTGTAGACTAACCCGTAAAAGCGCTGCAACTAACCTGAAAGACAAAGACCCAGACGGTGCTTTATGCGCAGATGCAGTTTGCATTTCCTATATTCACACGATGTTGCTTCGTCATGCTTCTATCTCCATCTATACCATGTTTTCCTAGTACTTCTTATGCGCCAATATGCACTATTTTCAACTGTTAGGTTTGAGAATTAGGTCCAAATTACTCGTCTAGCTTTTCTAGATTTTGCGCACATGCTGTGTAAAAACTTCAATTTTAAGTAGAGAATTTTAAATACAATTTTGAACAAATTTGAAAACTGTTTAAATGTATACTATTTTTTTTATTGAAATTTAATATTTAAATTTTATTTTTATAATTTAATTTAAATAGATTTTATAAAAATATTACCATATTAAAAACACTAACCCTGTCTAATCTGGTATAATCCCAAGAACGCTGATTGCGTTACCTCGCTGAATTGCTATAGTGCCTATGAGTTAAAAAGTAATCTAATCTAATTACTAGCCCCAACGATATTCCCTTAGGAATATCACCGCACCGCACCGCGCTTCTGTAACGATAATGTGATCACTGAAAAACATGAGTGAGTGTCGTGGAACACTCTGTTGGAACGAAGTTCCTTATTAATTGATAAACGTATATTATTGATTAACAAACAAAGTACTAGCGTCTATTAAAATGAAGCGTCATTTAAAATAAAGTACACTATGACTCAAGGGGCAGTGACGAAAAAATCTTACACTTTTTGTCACCTTGTTCCCATCCGCCAAACCCTTACCGTCCGCTAGGGAACTTCGTTCCAAAAAATATGGATACAAAATTTGAAATTTTGAATTTCAGCTGTTTAAAGATAATGGGAATTACTAGAGATGCACGAATATTCGGAATATTCGTACCAGATCATAAAAAAGTCTCACAAATTAGGTTACTCAAAATATATTTATTACCAACAAGACATTACAATTAATACTAAAAATTTATTAGAGGATAATGAAAAGGGACTGGACTAGGTTACGTGATTCTTCTTTTTGAATAGACAGGTGTTAACACTGACTGGCAATCAAGGCTGGTAAAACTCTAATAATAAATAAAAATAAAAGAACAAATATAACAAAACAAAACAACTAACAGTTCAATTTCACTGTACAATATCATTAGGAAGCCATGAAAAAATCAGGAGGTATTGTTGCACTAACGCAAATACATGTTTCTCAACCTTATTTTCAGTTCAATTTCACTGTGCAATATTATTAGGAAGCCATGAAATATCAGGAGTTATTGTTGCACTAACGCAAAATGCATGTTGTTTCTAAACCTTCTTTTGGCGCTGAAGTTCAAATATCGTAATCTATTATCATGAATGTATTCCATTAATAATAAAAAGTTAGTTTAAAATGTAGCGATTTTAAATTGCTAATTTGAAAGTAAATATTTCCAAGCTGTTTTAACATCCTTAAGTAAGACCATGACATAACTGCAAATGAAATGCCTGCATGAAAGAGAAATATTTTAAGTTAAAATCTTTGGAGTAGTTTTGGTTTCCCTCAAAATTGTATTGGTCGGTTGCCCAAAAATCTCTCATAGTTTAAGACTGTTTATGACTATGCAAAACCTAAACAAAATAATAAGGAACAGAAGACTTCTAATAAGACGGCTCCGTGGCGCAATGGCTTATCATTGAGTTGAAGCAATGAAGGCCGCGGGTTCGAATCCCAAACGGAGTAAAGCAGCATGCTACTATAACCACAGCGCTGTTATTCTGTTGTTACCCTTATATTACCAGGCAGTTGATGGACATAATATATTTCTGTAGCCATAAATAATTAAATAAATATCTACTTCATTTGCACGTATCTTGCTCAGCTGGGTACACAAATGACCATTTATTGCGGAAACACCGAAATACCACAGGCCAAAATTATCAGTGGAAAGGTACTCTGCGTTTACCAATTATACAATAGCGCAGTATCGAAAAGTTCTACTTAACTTTTTTTTAAATTGATGCTAGCGAACATTAGCCTCTGGTAAAAATACTGTATGGTTATAGTCTATGGTATTAATAAACACTAGATACACAGTTTTCTTTTTTTTTTCTATCTTACTTCGAGCGTCGATCGTAGTTTTTCCAACAACGATAGGCATAGAATGTGGCATGAACGTTTGACAACAGTGTGAGTTTCCATAATCTGCACAAATTCAAATTAGGGAAACTTTGCTTTAATTTATCAACGGAAAAAAATAAAAATATTTAATTAGCAATAACTCAGTATTCTATACATTTTATTTGATTTAAATTACATTTATAACGTCACATTAAGTGATCATATATGTCTTTTTCAGAACCCTAGCATTTTATTATTTAAAGTATAAAAATACACGATAGTAATAAAAGGATTCAGAACCTTTGGCCAAGTAAATACGGAAAATACGTCGTGTGAAAAACTGATGCTGTGTGCGTTAGTGCAACCGCATCTCCTTCTACTTCATAATTTCTTAGTACATTGCATATTGACATTGCAGTTTGAGAATCAAAGTTTTTGTGGGTGACGGAAATAGGCATTGCAATTTTCTCTAAAACTGAAGATTCATCAATCATCATCAATCAGAATGTATGATCGTTATAATTTCTACAGCCCTTCACAAGTACCTTGCTGAACATCGGCCACCCCAAAATCGGTCCTAAATCATACGTACATCGACTTCCTGCACTCACCAGGTCGTCACTCCACTTAGTGAATTCTTTTTTTCTATCTTACTTCGAGCTTCGAGCGTAGTTATCTAAACTAGAAAACTCCCATCATGGGAGTTTTTTTCTTTCTTACTTTCTCGTTTGACGATGTTTTAATTGCTTGTGTGCTTGCACGTATAAGTTAAATGCATTGCTGCGCTATTTTGTAGATAAAGCAAGCCATATAGATTTAATAATATTTAATAAATACATGTTATGGATATGCAATATTATCGTTTATAATAAATAACTATAAACTTTCAGAGGTTAAAATAAACCTCTGAAAGTTTATGGTTTTCTAGTGTTATTGAATCGTAACAATTTCAAGTTAAATTATTTAAATTTTTTTCTAGATGTGTCACACAAACACAGCTAGCGTTCTTAGCACTTATGGTATACGGCGAAGAGTAGAACTGTACTTGAAATAATTGAATAATATACATGTAGTTGTAATTTTTAGTTTTGGTTTTCTTCATGTATTTTATTAGTCAATGGTTACTTAAAAACATTACAATGCAATTTAGAAGTAAATATTACGCGTGTTCACTAAACATGTTCCAATCTTAAAAAATATTGTTACGTACAAGAAAAGCCAAAATTACTTATAATCTAATATAAGTATGAAAGAATATCCAATCCTTTTTAGACACTCACTGACTTGTTTATACAAAGTATAATTTACTGTTGATTTTCAATAAACTGCTGTAATGAAATGCGGTGCTGTAAATTAGATGAAAAAATTAAATTTATTATTTTACTGTAATATCAATAATATAAATTGAGAAGATTGAAATGGTAGCCCATTTGTAGTATTATAAATCTAAAATTATCATTTTACAGCCCTATGATAAGCCTCGTTGTATAGTGCCTGGAACTTGTTTCCTCGTTAAAATATTTTATTAATTTAGCTCCTGTATGAGAAAAGAACCTACAGGCTCCGCCATCAGCAGCGACGACTATTCTTCCGCCACTCAGACCAAAAGTACTTCTGAATCCGTGGACCTAAACAAATAATTATTAGACATTTTAAAGCATTTTTTCACTTTTTTAATATGGTTTGTGTTTGTGATTGTTAATAAAACTTTAGCCACAAATTTGTATTCTTTAATATTAAAAGACTTATAGTGATTTTGAATTTGGCGCCGTTAACCCAAACTTTCGTTTCATTTGTGCAGAAATGCAACATCGTACATGCGCTATCATTCTCCTCTTTCTGGTGTGTCAACCTCAGGCAAAGAATACATACACGCCTCAGGCTTGTTAATTTGAAAATGGAAACCTTATAGTCCTAAAGACAATAATCATGTGCATTATTAAATTTTATATAGAATTTAATTATTATTGAGGTGCTATTTTGCATGCCTTGTTGCCTTGAGCGAAAGCGCAAGGTATGTTCTACTATTGCCTAAAAATTAAGTATCCAACGTTTTATCGAATGAAATCGTATCTAGCAATCATAAATGATATAAAAAGCACATTGTTAGAAAGATAAATGATTGTTGAACTTATAAATATTTTTTTAAAACGATTGATTGCTATTTTTAAATAAAAAAGGGGTTTTAGTGGCTTATGGTGTGAATTTATCAAGTCCGTAAAGCTTGTAAGCACTATAACTTTTGAAAATATCCATTGTTTAACTCAATCTATTTTTTAATCTCTTCATCTATCATGTGGGAAGCCACTGAATGTAAATGGCAGTGTAATTTTGTTTTGTTTAGCTATAATTAATTTTTTTCGGCTCCAAAATATCGAAATTTTCGTTGATTTGGTAGCCTTGTGTGTAAGTTATTTCTGTAAATAGGCGGAAGCCGCACTCTGAGCTACAGCCACAGAGTACTTTACTCACTCAATCACTTCGGCGTCAGTCGCCATCGTGAGTGGACACTGTTGCGGTTGTTTGCAGTGGCTCGAAAAAATCGCTGTACAAATACACAATATTCGAATAACCGAATTTCTTAAATACTTGATTATAATAATAATGAGAGATTTTTTTATTACAATATTTTAAAAGCACAGAATAAATAATAGTAGTACGTACTAAAAGTAAGTAGTATCAATTTTTTTGTTATGGGTGACATTTTCATGGTTTTCGAGAGAGTTGAAGCCGATAGGGTTGTCGAAATATAAATCCAAGATGGCGGCTGCAATAGATATCAATTATTTCATCATGGGTGTCATTCTCATGGTTTTCGCGGGTGTTGAAGCCGATAGTGCTGTCGAAACGTAAATCCAAGGTGGTGGCTGCAATAGGTATCAAATTTTTTCATCATGGGTGTCATTTTCATGGGTTTCG